TCTCTCTCTCTCTCTCTCTCTCTCTCTCTCTCTCTCTCTCTCTCTCTCTCTCTCTCTCTCTCTCTGCTCCCGCGAGCGGGGAAATCCGCGCGTGAATGTACCATGTGCGCGTTCCGCAAGCTCTGACCTTAATTATAATAACAGATTCTTCCGCTAATTCGCAGGTGACTCGCCTCGGCGGAGGCTCTCGAGTTTCGTCGAGGGAATTGCGACTCCTCGTCAAGATTCAGACCGGGCATTCTCCAAGGTACTGCTCTGTGGCCAAGAAAGGAGCACACCCACGACACACCCATGAAACGCCGGCGAGAAGCGCGAATCGACATTCCACGGCGGAAACAAATGTTTATTGCGCCCGCGTTTATTCCGGTGAATTGTGCCGCGCGCGGCGAGAATTCGCATTTTGCAGTTTCCTTCGCCTTGCCGTCGCCAATATGCACCGCAATCGTAAATCAGGTTTATGCGCGAACGCGTCCATTCGTAGGGGAAATATCAGGAAAAATAAGAGCGCGTGGTATTGTCTGGGTGAACGTGCACGCATTACTCGAGTGCACTTTGATCCTTAGTCGGGCGCGGCCGCGATGATCGCATCATCTCCGAGCGCAATGCCTGCACGGAAAAGAATAATTTTGCTCTTTTAGCAAAATCATCGTTGCTACTGCATATTCGTAGTGACATAAAGAAAATTTAGTTGACGTAACTAATTTTACAATTTATTCGTTATCAGAGCAGAAGTAGTTTCGCTGGCAGGATAGAAAAAATTTGTTGAGTGTATTTGTCCTAAGAATCACGTTAATTTGCTATTGATGCAAAATAATGTATCCTTGGTAAATTTATTTGCTATCGGAGCAAAACTGCAACTGCTTATATAAATCCATCATGGTTCTTATAGCAAAATAATTTGTAGATTCAGCAAATTATATACAGCGAATAGATTAGTATCCTTAGCAAATCTTTTTGCTGTCCATATAATAACGAAAAAATATTGCTGGACCAGTAGAAAATTTGCTGGGCCAGCAAATTATTTCTCTCCATGTGAGAATAAAAGGAAATTATAGAGAAAGTTATCTAACGTTATCTCCTGTGGTGGCGAACCCGACAAAACAAATGGAACTATTTGTTTCTCGAGATTATATCGCGAGAGATTGTCATCATGGAGTTCTAAGTTGGCGGAGGTAGTATAGCGAAGTCTTGATCCCGATTGATCCCGATCAGCCAGTTGGGCACACCTACAAAACCTTCCGGGAATCGATCATGTATCTTCTCCCTTAGCGAGAACTCGTGAAAAGTGAACATTTTCACACCTCCATTGTTTGAGAAGTTACACAATCGCTGCAGTCGTCGAGTTCACGTGAAACTTTTCATTCTTCACGCGCGTTTCCGCTTTTAGAAAAAAAGTTACATGACCGCTACCCTGAGGTGCCTCGCCGCGGAACTCTTGACCGATGATGTCAGAAGCGAGAAAATCCGTGCAAAACACGTTGAAATAAAGAGATGTGTCCATAAAATGACACCGTTCGAACGGCCGCATCTGCAAAATGACACTTTCCATTCGTCCCAATAACCAATAAATTACCGTAAAATTAATACGACACGCAACCCACCATTTTAATCTATTTTCTCATGATTCTGCCGCGTTACTTTTACAGTTACTTATTTTGACTGTCAGAGTGAAAGGAGTGTTTAGGCTACTTGACTTGATCGATCTTGTAAACATATTTCGTCTCGATGTATCTCACAAGGATTTCACGCATGTACTTCCTCGCTTCCGACGTCCTAAAGTCAAGCTGACCGCGCCGCGAGGAAACAGGAGTCAATGAACAAATCGACATCGCGACAACTCTCTTCCCCTCCCCCAGAGTTTGCCCCTTCCGGCGACGCGCACACCTCGATCGCGCGAGTCCGGCAGCGTCAGCGCGCACGTGGTTTCTACAGGCGTGACACGTGGGGCCACGCGAGCGACGTAGAATCGTCGGCGGCAGTCCTGCGCTCTCAAAGTGCGCTCTAAGCGACGGCGGCGGCGACGGCGGCGGCGGCGGCGGCGGAGGAAAAGGGTGGGTGGAGGCGGCGCGGGAGTGGATCGCAAAATCAGCGGCGGCCGAGCATACTGGGTCAGTGCTCCCTGGATCGGCGCCCGTGTCTTCGCTCTATTCTGGTCGTCGTCGTCGTCGACGTCGACGTCGTCGTCGCCGTCGCGACGCCGGATGAATCGGGAACGTGGCGCCGCGCCGTGGACGACCGCAAACGCGCCGCTCTGAGCGTTGCTCGGTAACCGTAGTAATAATAGTTAATGAGACAGGAGCCGCGACCTGTACGTATATTTTCGGAACGCGGGCACGGAAAATGTCAATAACGGATGCAAATATGAGAAATCCCTCGCACGTCGACGGAAGAACGGTAATTTCGCAGGACGAAACGTCAACGAACTACGTGAGAGGAAAATATATGCTTCAATGATTTGTAAGAAATGTTCGAGAGAACAGTCAGGAGACGAGGCACGAACCTCGATATTGCACGGAAAAGAAAATTTCAGCTCGGTTAACTGAATAGGGACCACGGGACCCCAATATTAAATACGCCTGATTTTGATTCTCAAACTGAAACACCTTTATATTGGACACTTCTATAAGAGAAACGAAATTTTGAATAAAAAGAACGTGCTTGGCATTCGAGCTGAGAATAAAGCCTTAGACGAAAGGTTCGCTGACGAGATGTTTCTGTCACTGTGGAGGAAAACATTCGTCTGAATGTTCAGCTGCATTAAAACGCGGTTAAGATATAACTGAGAGCAATTGGCTGAGTAGAAACCTCTTATGGGAATTTTTCTGATTCTACAAGTTCTCTATCTCGTCCGAGTTTTCTATCTCGTCCTTAAGTAAAAGAAAATTCAGTTACACCAATGGAGTTGTCCGTGCCGTGCATTATCTCAAGTATCGAGGCAGCTGATCATTTATCAGCACACAGAAATGCATTCATTCGAGTCGAAGTTTTAACTTTATTTTCGACCTCAATGTTCCATTTAACGCCTACTTTGATACTCTAAACTTTGCATCAGCTTCTTTTGATTCTACTTAACCTATAAACTGCCGAAAGGCAGTTCCTCTTCAGAACTTATAACTGGCTTAATTTTTTTCTGCTATTTAAAGGTTTTAAGTAGGATTTCAGTTTCTATATATATTAAACATATACTGATCCTTCAGGAAGTCCAGATCGAAAGTAGGGCTGAAATTTCGACTCGGACATTTTCGTGGAATAACTCGGTTTCCCCGCGCGTTGAGCAACAGAGAGAGAGAATCATTCTTACCGTTACCGTTAGAATCTCCCAAGAAGTCGCTCGCGACGTTGTTCGGGATCTGGACGCCAGCTGATCGCGCTTGGCGCTTCGACGATCGCTGTGCGATTTCACGCGCGTGTCAGGAAGCGCATCTGTCCGTGCGACGCGCTCGGGAGCGGCTGGTCGTTTCCCGCCAAGTTCGATCTAGCCGGAGGGGGGCGCGATTAGGTCGGTACCATCGTCGCCACGAGGTCGTGTAATCGTGCGACTTTGCTCGACCTTGATGGAGTACGAACGGCACGGCGAGACGCATGCGCGGCGCGGGCCCGTTCCTCGGAAGCGTCGGACGTATCCACCACGTGGTTCGGCGAGTTCCGAGGCACACTGCATGTTGAAAGTGTCTTCGGCGGCGGCCACGTGGTCGTCGTTAGGGTAGGACACGGTCCCTCTCTCTCATTCTCGCTCTCTTTCCAACCCCCTCCTCTCTCGCGCGATTCTCTCTCCCGTCCCGCTCTCTTCCTCTCTCCACGGACGAACACACACGCCGTTGCAACGACTGCCTATGACTCTACCACGTCTTTTGTTGCTTCCTTCAGCGGGATACCGACCGAAACTTCGCGATCACGGGCGTTATCAGTTCGGTAAGTCCAGCTCATGACATCGAACGATGTTAAGCCCGCGTTAAGCGGGAAGGACACACTCTTGCAAAGGCATAATGCATAACGCATAAGAAAATTGACCAATCAGAGTCTTTTATTTTCATCGTGGCAATAGAAATGAGGATTCTGATTGGTCAATTTTCTTATGCGTGTGCATTATGCCTTTATGCAAGAGTGTGTGCTTCTCGCTTTAAGGTCCGTCTACGATGGAATTGACAATAAACAGAAAGACGTAAGCAATAAAAAAAATTAAACAACCATAATTATAAGAACAGTCGACTGTATTTGGTCAATTTTTTTGCTGCTTAACGTTTTATTGTCAATTGTAGATGGATCTTTACATCAGATTGCAGCTGAGTGTTGGGGATCTGTCAATCAGAGCAAATTGGCCGGTGAACTGCTTTATCCTGATTGCTAGATTTCCGACATCTATACAGAAAAAATAACTACGTAGCTGAAAATTATTTGTCACCTAGAGACCAAATGAAAAACTTGGTCGTGAAAATAGAAAGATACTTGCAGAAGAGGTTTCTACTCAACCGATCGCTCTCAATTATCTCAACCGAGTTTTGACGCAGCTAGATAGAAATTCTATCAAACTCGTCAGTGTAAAACTTTTCATTTCCCACGAATTTACGCGAAGGAGACGCATGATGCATGATCGATTCACAGACTAATGCTACGACTTTAACCTTTCGATAGTCGCGACTATCTCTGAAGTACTTAGCGACTTCGTTTTAGTGCGACACAAAACGCTGTATTTTTCCTATCTTTCTGTGGAAAATAACTATCTAAGAACGTGAAGGATAATACAAGGCTGCTTCTTCAAAGTGTGTAGTTTCTCTTTAACAAAATGCTTTATATATACAATTTCCATCTTTGTTTTCCAAAGACCCACGACTAATGGAAGATTAACACGTAACTGCATTGCAGGTGACCTTTTGAACATCGTGGAGTAACAACAACAAAAAAAGACCGATTACGGTACCCAATCTTATGTAAAGAGATAAACTCGCGTTACGGGTTTACAATCTCGTCTAAGCTCTCACCGCTCGCTCGCTCGCTCGCTCGCTCGGCTAACACGTAGCGATAATTTATGCCGGCGATCGCTTATGCATAAACACGAGACGGGCGACACAATGCGGCTCCTTGTGTGTCGTTATAGCGGCCGTCATTAGAATTCCGCACGGCGTATTCTCGAACGACGTCGAGCATATCGCGCGCGATATCGCGATATCGCGAGAACCATCGTTATCGTCTTCGTCGCTGGCGATTACACACATATTTTTCCCCAACGCGCTCGCGTTCGCCACTAAGGAATCGCGCTCGTTCGGTATCATTCGGTTAACAACGGGTCGATTGTTTGCTAAATCGGCCACTGGATGCTAAATCGAGAATTTCAGCGCGCTACGATGGAATCTCGCGATCTGGCAATTACATCGCGCGTCCACCTGGTGGATATTAACGCAGCAGCGCGATAACGGCGCGCGACATCAGGTTAAATGTGTTTTCCATAAAATGCCTCACACAACCGGAATGCAGCATGACAATTTTATAATGGATTGTCATGAAATATATGTTTTTGCTTCTGACAGAGAGAGAGACACAATCGTCCCCTTGCTATGCGTAGCGAGAAACACTGAAAAATACTGAAAAAAACGGAATCGACGCTTGAAATCGTTTGGTAACACCATAGTGCTTCGAAACGCTACACTCGTCAGCACGGAAAGGCCAACCAGTGTAGGAAAGGTCGCGACTCCGGCGAATACATCCGT